GGTAGTATTTTTTATAATATAATGTATTTTAAAATAGTGACTTAGGGGTTAGAATTTTTGTCACTTTTCCACCGGGACCCAAGCTTACTCTCATGACAACAGTGAAAACGATAAATGACGATTCTCGATTCTGAATGTTTTCACAGTCACAAAGAGCACTCATCCGAAATGTACGTGTAGTTCTTCGTAGAGCTTGTTCACTAAACGTGGATATTCTATCGAAAACGAGCTTAAAATTTCAAATTCGCGGAACATCAAGTGATCGACACAAAAATGAAACAAAATGGTGGACCTTGAAATCTCAAGCAATAGAGGGCGCCTGGGCGTACACAGCGCGACACGCATCCTTGAGGGATTAGGCAGATTCACACCTTTTAACAATGGCGTTTCCTAACCGTCTTTTTTAGTAACCGTGCCCCAGACAAGCTATATACCAAGTTACATTGAAATCCGAACATTGGTTCTTGAGATATCGATGGAACAGACACACAGACACACACACACAGACAGACAGACACACAGACAGACACAGACAGACAGACACACAGACACACACACAGACACACAGACAGACAGACACACGAACTGCAAAGACTCCCTTTTTGTGCTTCGCACACGGGAGTCAAAAAAGTGTAATTCTATTTTTAATGACCAAAATAATTTCCTTTATTTTACGTTTTTGCAAATATCTTTATTTTTTGTGTATTTGAAACATTTATATTTCAATTACTATAATTATAAACACGAGTAATATGCACAACAAAAATTTGAACTAATTCGCATCAGTATTTCTCACGTTATAAATAAAAGCATTTCCTCAAAAGTGTCACACTTTACCCACATGTCACATTTTACCAAGATGGCATCATGATAAGTTGAATGACTTCGACTAAAATAAAAATATAAATAGGTGAAAGATTCTTGGATTTCACTAATGCTGATATTATAACAGAATATGGATTCTTTTAGAAGAGATTTCACAACAATCAAGATATTGATGTGTTTTATATAATGCCAAGAAAGCCATAAAATAACCAGTGCAACTCCATCACAAATATGTAAGTTAGTAATCCTTTACCTGTGACATCATCAATGATAGTCTGCCCCGTAACCTGGATAATTTAGTGTAAGTTAATACTCTGGTATCCATCATTTGATACAATGTACTGAGTTTCTTGATGACTTCAGGAAACGTACTAAGGTATGATGCATGGAGCGTTAACAGCGCTTTCACCCACTTCAGCAGTATTGTGCCCCTAGTTCAGGAAAAGACAAAGATTATCATACAAATTCTACGAAGTCCAATTGAGTGACTGAAATGGTATTCTGAACGTGTTCTTAAGAAATATGCATGCTTTACTATCTGCTGCACATTGAACACATGGCGATACACAGTTGATTTGTTGAAATCCCATTCCAGAGTCAAAACAATATATTTAGATTTTTATTGGAACAATTTCAAACAGTGGAAATTTTTTTAGATGAGTTGATGCCATGGATACTAAATTGATTTGTTTTTATTAGTTGAAGTTTTGACCCCGAAATCATACAATACCAAATATGAATAAACCATGATCATGACCTCAGATACAAGTGGGTAAAGTTCGTCTTTTCATTCATAGAAATATGCGTGGTGCATGAACTTTATCATCACAGGTCATTTTTTTCATAAACAATTTTATTAATTTTAGAAGGCAGAAAAACAAGTTCATAAACACGATCGTGAGCAAGCTAAATTCTTGAGTTGTTAACTGGACCCTACAAATATAGAATTTTTTTTTTTATAATTCTCCAGCCATATCAATTAAAGCAGTTGACCTTTGACCCCAATAATACTGCATTTGTAAGTTTCCACATGTAACAATCATGACATTTGTTACCTTTCTGGTTCACTGTTTATCCTAAGAGCCAGCTCCTCCGCAAAAAGCACAACTAATTGCACTGGTAATCGTTTGACTGTATTTGTAATAAGTGATTCACTTCCATACTTCAATACCCTCTGTGAAATTAACACACAAGTACATCAACAAATTAATGTGGAACAAAAACGTAAATTTCGGTATTATAAATTTATGATGAAATGCTACATTAAGCATACCATTAATATTGATTTTAAAGATTTACTTATTCAACTATTTATTCTATCGTAATCATGGCATGCCGTTCAATAAGGTAAATTTGTATTTAAAGATATTTTGACCCTAATTGGTAAAGTCTTGAAGTGACCGATTGTGAATCCCAAGAAAGTTTCCGTAAGCACAAGATCTGCCACTGTTATAATTACTGTGTGTGTTTTTGGTTAAGCATTTGCATTTTGAAATTTTATAATTCATGAATATTCATTAATTATTATTATTAATGAAAATTATTCAATGCTATGCCAGAAGTCTGATCATTACAACTTCCTGACTGCAAACTGATCACATAAATATGGATTACAACTTACCGATAGTATTTGTTTATCTTGACTTTGAAGACCTTGCGTTAGTAACAATACTAACGAATCTGACTGGGGTATACTTGACATCTGTAGATTCTGACTAGCTAAACTTATTGCATTTAATCTATCTTCCATTGCAACCTGCAAAATGATACGAGCATTAGCGTCAATTCTTGATTGTATGACCTATATACAAAATGTTTGTGAAAAGCAGTCCCGCACTCCCTTGGCTATGAACATCGATTTTTCGTCACGGGTGTGATTCACACACTAAATTTTGGTTACCCAGGTTTCCAACCACTTAACTGAATTAATGATATCAAATGAAAGAAAGCTTAGAAAGAACTCCTGTGAGAGAGTATTGGAGACATTAAAAATTAATCAGCCTTCTAAACAAGAACCTTGCATATTAGCCCAGAGCATCTGTGCATCAAGTTTCATCATAAACCAACTTATGGTTCTTGAGATATCAGTGTGACATGCTAACGCACAAATGTACACGTCTTGCCCTTATTGTAATGACACACATTGGATCAAGTTTTAATATAGTTGTGTTATGTTTGGATTAAAATGTGTCTATATAGGGTTTCCTTTAATTCAAGTTAATAAAATAAGTCATTGTCAATGACACGTCCCCGTTGCATTCATATTTGAGTGACATATACATTCAAAGCAGATCATGACCGAAATGCACAACACATTGTACTAAATCTGAACAAAATACATCCATGCAAGACTGAGATCTGGTTCTGGAATTGTGAAAATACGTGATTTTGATGCATGTTCGGCCTTACAATCGTTTTCCCTAAACATTGGACGATCAGATTGTGGTAAATGTTGATACATCAGAGCAAGTACTTAATGAAATTGCCACTGATTTTATCACTACTAATCAAAACATAACTGTAGCCGAAACATTTTTGATGCAAAGTATAACCGTCCGAGTCTCCAAGGCGCCATTCTCTCTTTTATTGTTTGCGCAAGAAGTTTCATTTTCGTGAACAGTGTGAATCCTGACCAGCATTGCTGATTTATTACAACGCTCTTTGGACAATGGCTGAATATCTTTTCAAGCTACATTTTACTTATTACACGGAGGACAGAATTGTTCCCATCTATGTTAAAGAAGACAAGTTTATGTGCATGTCGTATCAACATTTTGTTGACTATCTATGCGAATAGATTGCTTTTTTTAAGGCGAATGCAGGCTATTCGTCTGCAAATCATATAAAAGGAAATACAAGTGAATATATATTGTCTTAATGCTGGTACAAGTTGATTTTCATTTCAGTTCATATTGACCAGTTTTTGGCGGAAAGCAAATCACACGTAACCACTTTTTCTAGCAAAAATGTGACCAATAGCGTATGCTATAGCAAACTCAGTAAATCTATAGAAAAATTCCTGGTTTCCCCGCAAATACGATTTTATAGACCGAAAACATTGTTCACAGATATTATACTGGGGACTGTATGGTGGTTGAAAAATTAGGTGCACTCCTTGCTGTTGTAATAAATGTTCCAAATGAGGTTTGACAATCCTGGCGTGATGAAAACCACAATTATCCATGATTACACAATCTCTCGGTACCAAACAACGATTTCAAACGTGGTCTACTACATTGACTCCCGGTACTTCAAAGAAAAAGATCATCATTTCCAAAGCATTGGAAGGTCCAACATCGATATCAGATTATTTGACACCAAATATACTTGTAAGCAGGTTTATTGTGTAATTAACATTAGACGCAAACCGCTGTATTTCTGTCGCCGGTTTACCAATTTCTGCATGCCCGTAACGACGGTTCCCAGTTTACGAATGACAGACGCCTCGTCAAACTAGTGCAGCTGTTCTGGTCTAAAATCAGAAATGGTGTCGATAAAATCAAGCATTCGTTGTTCATTAATGTCAATCATTGACTCTGCAGCAATTACAAGGTGTAGGAAGCAAAAAAAAGTTGGTTCGGCCACCCATCGAGGGCCGTAGGTCCGAGGCGTCTGATGACGTGAGCCCAAGGACCACGTCTGCTGAAGGGGGGGGGGGGGGGTGCAGAAGTGGTCCGGCCATAGCAGGTATAGGTTTTAACTTTTTCCTCGTCATGTTTAGGTGGTGAACAAGTCCCCGGTAAACCGTGGATGAACTGGGGACATCGTGGCACACATTATCTTGGCGTAACTTTGACTGCATTTCACGCAGATAAATACTAGACTGTCGCCGTTTATAAAATTCAATATGCTGTAAAATATTGCCAGTCATGCATGTTCTGTTACCACGTTTTCGTCCGTGCTTCCCAGCTGAAACATCACCGCTAGTAATAAGTTTAGTGCATACATTATTCACAGTACTTTTTGACACGCCAGTTTGTTGTGCAATTTGACTATACGACAGCCAATTTAAGTAAAGTTCAGCAATTTTCTGTCATACACTAAATTGTGTGTCGTTTATGAGACTGCATTTCGTCACACAATTTCATGTACTCCCGACTTTCCTCGCGTTATATGCTCTGGGTGTGACACACTACCGGGACACACACACAGAGGTAACATTATATGTAAATGAATCGAGTACAGACAGTTATACATTGTATCAAAAATGTTTAGGCTACAGTTATGTTTTGATTAGTAGTGATAAAATCAGTGGCAATTTCATTAGGTATTTGCTCTGATGTATGAACATTTACCACAATCTGATCGTCCAATGTTTAGTGAAAATGATTGTAAAATGGCCAACATTCAGCTATTGTTAAGCAGATCATGAAACAAATGCATATTTGTGACATGATGTACCATGTGTGTGTGAAGTTTGAACTTGATCAATCCAGACATGTCTCGGATACGGATCCAGAACTGAATTATTTAAAACAAAATGGCCGCCAGTCGGCCATTTCGAACTTGATCGGGGGGAAAAAAATGACTTGCATCAAGGTCCTATTATGTTTAATGTATGTACCAAATTTGAACAAAATCCGTCCATGCATAACTGAGATCCGGGTCCAGAATGGTGAAAATGTGCAATATCAATGCATTTTCGGCCTTAAAATGGCCGCTATTCGGCTATCGTTAATCGGATCATGAAAAAAATGCATGTGCATATGTCCCATATAATGTGTGATGTACAGTCAAACCTGTCTATAAAGGACAGTCAGTGGACTGAGCCAAACTGTCCTTTATAGACAGGTGGTCTTTATAT